TCTCCGCAGAGGGTTGCGCGCGCAGCCGGCGCATCGCACTCTCGCCTGCATGTCGCGCACTCGACACGCGCGATCTCCGCAGAGGGTTGCGCGCGCCGCCGCCAAATCGCACTCTCGCCTGCATCTCGCGCGCTCAACACGCACGATCTCCGCAGAGGGTTGCGCGAGCACCGGGCGAATCGCGCCTCGCCTGCATTTCGCGCACTCGACACGCACGATCTCCGCAGAGGGTTGCGCGCGCAGCCGGCGCGTCGCACTCTCGCCTGCATTTTGCGCATTCGACACGCACGATCTCCGCAGAGGGTTGTGCGGGCACCGGACAAATCGCGCTCTCGCCTACATATTTCGCGCCCTCGACACGCACGATGTCCTCAGAGGGTTGCGCGCGCACCGCACCAATCGCACTCTCGCCTGCGTTTCGTGCACTCGACACGCACGATCTCCGCAGAGGGTTGCACTTTCGGTTGACGCTGTTCGTCCCACCCTTCGCCTTTAAGAGAGAATTTATTAAGAGAGAAGTTAGGGAAATGTTTTTTCATTAGGACATCTCCCGTGGTAGTTTTCCATACTCACACTTGCCTACTCATTGCATGCTTGCATACTCATTGCATGCTTGCATACTCATTGCATGCTTGCATACTCATCACTTGCGTACTTACACTTGCATACTTCCACTTGCATACTTTGACACTTGCACTTGGCTGCTTTCGCTCTTCCACTTACACTGGGGTACGTATAGCGTTCACGTTGTCGTGCAAGTGTGGTGAAAGTGTCAATGTGTAAGTGTAAGCGTCGAAGTGTCAGTGTTCAAAGGATTTTCCGGAAGAACCCTTCGCAATGCTTTCGGGAATTATTCAGTTGGATTAAAAATGGGAACTCCTAAGGCAAACAAACCTGAGTTGCACATAAAGAGCCATTAGCAACAAAAGAAGACCTAGAAAAAGAAGAGAAAACCAGAAGGAAAGACATGCAATCAAGTGAAACTTGAAAACGATTACATTAGCCGCATTGCCGCATGACGTGTCATTCTGTGGGGTATTGTCAGTGGGCTCTGCTTGATAGCAGCAATCTCGAGCAGAAACGAAGAATCAGGAAGAATCGAGCAAGTCAGAAAAGCCCGTGGAAATCCCCCTTAAGGGTCTATGCAGCAGACCTCTGTGGGACACTGCTGCGGCGGCACACACTTCGATTCATGCTCGCAAGAGCTAAATTAATTTTGCAGTTTACGTTACCGGCTTAGAGCCTGGACAGCCTGAGACCTGAGAAACAGCCCTGCGAGAGAACGGCAAGGTGAATAAGTCCGAAACAATGGTGCTTGATTGCATGACTTGAAAAAACATAATTAAAGGAACATGCGCAGGTACGTTGACACCCAGGTGGGGGGTGTCTTCGTTGGCCGGAGACTCCCCACCTGGCTGATGGAAAGGCAAGCGCTAGCAAAGAGTTTAGTTACTGTGGCAGATGTCCTTAGAGACAGGACTTGGCACACTGAGAAATGATTTTGGGTGGAGGATCATTCTGACGTTGGTAAAGGCGAGAACCTCCTAAGTCCACAGCCTACAGGAAGTTGTTGAAAGCGGCGACGCCGTCCAGAGTCCAGGCAACCTTCGCCAAGTGCAACTGAACCAGCTAACCGTCATACCTTAAGGAATATTGGAGTCTGTACGTCTGTGCGTCCACAGACTCATCCACCCATTTCTAGCTTCGTTGGCTAGCGTCGAGAAATGGGCCGCTAGCCCCCTGCTAGACAGTGATTCCAGGAGACATGGTCATGCAACTTCGTGCAAATTCTCGGCAAAGGAAAGCTCAATATGAAATATGGTACGGACATGTAGCTGTGTTCAAATCAACTGCTTGTGATAGCGGGTTACACACGCTAAGGGGCTGACGCCCTAGGCAGACAGAAAGTCTAAGGCAACCGGTCATCGGCAACAGGTAGTATTTCTTGTGTGGTGCCCTAAAACGACAGGTGCATGAACGGATCTGTATCCTTGGTAGAGCAGGTACGTGCCCAACGAAGTCGAGTGTCTGAGTAAGTCAAGTGCCTGAGGAAATCAAGGTCGAGAATTGGATCAACTGATTCTGACTGGTCCTTGGTGTGGCAAGTTTCTGGAAGTGTTACATTAAAGGGCAAGAGTGGTATGAAGAAACACAAAATTGGGAAGTGCTCGGGATCTGACCTGGATTACATCTGAACAATCTGGTTGCATAATGCAAGAGTAGCAGTACATGAAGACAACCTGTAGGCCCAACTGTAGTGATTCAAAAGTGGTTCAACCGACAGTGTCAGTCATGAATTACAATGCCAACTCATCCACGAAATGTGAGAGGAGGTTATGCTCATTCTGAATAGTCTGGAGAGATTATGCCATTAAGAAACGAAACTCAAAACTGCAACGTTGGAGGTCAACACTTGGAGGTTGGAGGCCAAAGCACCAAGGTTAAAGGCCTGTACTACCGGGTTGAATGTCGTCAAATCGCACAACAGGTACCACAGAAGTTGGCGGCCATCACTAGCACGTTAAAGGACAGTGAACCAGGGTTGGAGGACATCGCTACAAATTCAAGACTCAACACGCAAAAACTGCGTGAACCGACACCCCTGCTGCTGCCTGAACGACTAGAAGTTACTTTACTCGTTTGTGAGTTCAGCTCGTCCGCGCGTGAAAGTGGTGTACACCCGCACAAGGCCCTCTCTACGGAGAGGTCAGAGCTTCAAGATGCAAAACTCAAAACTGCAACCTTAGAGGTCATCACTAGGAGGTAGGAGGCCACTGCCAAGGGTTGGATGGTCTCAAAGCGCACAACAGGTAACGCAGAATTTGGAGGCCATCACCAGCACGTTAGAGGCCAGTGAACAAGGGTTGGAGGTCGTCGCTACAAATTTAAGATTCAACGCGCAGAAACTGCATTAACCGACTCCTGCTGCTTTCTGAATGACTGGAAGCAAATTTACTTGTCGGTGGGTTCCACTCGTCCGCGCGTGACAGCGGTGTACACACATACAAGGCCCTCTATGGAGGGGCGAGAGCTTCAAGAAGCAAAACTCAAAACTCAGAACTGCATCGCTGGAGGTCATCACTAGGAGGTTGGAGGCCAAAGCACCAAGGTTAAAGGCTTGTATTGCCGGGTTGAATGTCATCAAATCGCACGACAGGTAACGCAGAATTTGGAGGCCATCACTAGCACGTTAAAGGACAGTGAACCAGGGTTGGAGGACATCGCTACAAATTCAAGACTCAAGACGCAAAGACTGCGTGAACCGACACCCCTGCTGCTGCCTGAACGACTAGAAGTTGCTTTACTCGTTTGTGAGTTCAGCTCGTCCGCGCATGAAAGTGGTGTACACCCGCGCAAGGCCCCCTCTACGGAGAGGTCAGAGCTTCAAGATGCAAAACTCAAAACTGCAACCTTAGAGGTCATCACTAGGAGGTAGGAGGCCAAAGTCCCACAAGAGTGTCCTACAAGAGTGTCCTGTAAGAGTGACCCACAAGAGCACCCTACAAGAATGTCCCCGCTGCTGGTTGCTGGCGCTGCTATTGCTGATGCCGCTGCTGGTTGCTGCTGCTGCTGCTGGTTGCTGCTGCTGGTTGCTGCTGCTGGTTGCTGCTGCTGCTGCTGCTGCTGCTGCTGCTGGTGCTGTTGGTGCTGCTGGTTGCTGCTGCTGCTGCTGCTGCTGCTGGTTGCTGCTGCTGTTTGGCTGTTGCTACTTCCTGGTGGTTGCTACTGTTGCTTGAATCCTGAAGGCTGCTGCTGCTTTGCTGGCTGCTGTTGCTGCTTGGGGCTTTCGGGGTGGGCGCTGTTGGTGCTTTCTTTCTCCGCCCTCGACCATGACAAGTCCCCACCCTCTTTCAATTTCGTCTGCGCAACCCCCCCCAAAACTGAACGAAAACCAAGGGTTGTGGAGGCCAAACTTGTGTGAGCGTTGGTGCTTTGCTGCTGCTGCTGCTGTTGAAGCCGTTGCTGCTGCCACTGCTGCCACTGCTGCTGTTTTCTGCTTTGCTGTGCTGCAACTGCTGCTTTGCTGTTGCTGCTACTGCTGCTGTTTTCTGCTTTGCTGTGCTGCAACTGCTGCTTTGCTGTTGCTGCTACTGCTGCTGCTGCTGCCACTGCTGCCGCTGCCGCCGCCGCTGCTGCTGCTTGTTTGCTGGTGCTGGTGCTGGTGTTACCTTTTTGCTTTGCTGCTGCTGCTGCTTTGCTTGTTTGCTGCTGCTGCTGCTGGCTGCTTGCTTCTGCTCAGAATCTTCCGACCTCTACCTTTTGTCCACCTCCGTCGCCTCAAGTCGTTCAGTGAAATTTTTAGGCGCGGCTCAGTTCTGCTTGTTTTCCAAAAATTAGCCGATTCAGCCGTGTCTTTCCAACTTTTCGTTTGGTTTCAATCGTTTCGCGGGGGGAAAACGTTTCGTTACTCACGGCTCCATTCGATTACAGGTCCCTGAAGGAAACAAGGATGCAAACAGGCAAACAAGCTAGCTCTTTATCTATGTCGACTGTATGTATTTTTCCAACTATTTGTTTTCATCTATTAATGTATATGAACCTGATCCATTTGTATGTCGGTTCATCGATTTGTTAGTTTTTCGCCTTTGATCGTCAAAATGTATGCTGTGAGTGGTTGGAGGGTTTTGCTGCCCAAGGTTGCCTCAAAGGACATTAGGACTCAGGACTTTTACCCTCACAGCAAGAACATCGGAAATGCCAACGGGAAAAAACACATCCTGAAATATGTTGAACTTCAAGCCTAGTTGGCCTAGTTGGCTCTCGAGACGGATGGAAATTGTTTGGTCCAACGGCAAACCTTTAGAGTATTTAAGCTGGAAGCAAAGGTGCGAAATGAATATCAGTTGCAGGTTTCCACTGCCATTCGCAGAATGACTGCAGGCTTTGCAACCACTTCTTCAGTGCAATTTGTTCAAGATTGCTCTGGGCTGGCAAATCCCACTTCGCTCTCGACTGCTTTGACATAGCTCAACACTCTCACTTCTACATAAATTGCTTGCAGGAAATGGAGGCTATTTGGAATTACAATACCATTGTGGACCGAAAGCGATGGGGCATTGGAAATACTATCGCATCTTCACCCTACGCTCACGGTGAGCATCCTGAGCGATGGAGAGCCAATGGCACCTTCCCTTTCCCCATGAAGGCACATGTGAATGAAACCAATAAAAAACAGATTGCAAAAAGAAATCAGACATGTCAGAGAGAGTATTTCAAACTCTTTTGCATGACCTGGTTTCATCAGGCGCCAGAATCATCGGTGCTGAATTTGAACAACACATTGACCATGCACTTGAAGGCGAGGCTTCATACTGGATGGTTTAATGGTGGAGAGTGTAAAGCCTTTAGTCTAAGGATTCCGTTCGATTGAGTGTTTGGTAGCTAACGTGCCGCGCTTCTGGCTCGTTTCGTAGCCGCTTGCTTGAATAAAACTGAGTGGGCAACAGGACCCGAGCCGGTTGCACACGGGTCACAAGACTTCTTACTGTATGCCAGGGAGAGGACCGTGACTATGACAACAAATATGCCCAACAGCTGCAAGCGGACGCGTGGATGATGAGGGACCATGCATTTGTTTGTTTCTGGTCTTTTGCTTTGGTGAGAGCCGGGGTCAGGGCACGATTGATTTCATGCATGGGTTGTTGTTGGACGAGACGATCTACTGGCCTTGCTTGTGTCCTCGAAGAAGACCAGTTCTATATTGGGTTGCAGGGATTCTCACCTTTGCCAAGCAAGGACTACGGGTCATTGATCGACAACATCAAGATGCAAGCAAGAAGTGCAACGATTTGCGCGCAAGGCTGCGCAAGATGGATGCATATGCAGACCAGTTTATTAAACTTCCGAGCGGAGTTTGGAACAAGATCGATGCTCAATCATAGATAAATGAGGTGGTTCAGTGGTTGAGTCTCTCCCTCTCTCTTTCTTTTCTTTTCTGTAAGCCAATTTTTGGAGCAATCCTTCTGCAGCCCCAGCCTTGTTCCTGTAGAGCATGGTGTGCTTGGCTGGGAAGCGATACTGTCACTCTTCTTCCTTTGCGCCGCGCTGAGACCAGCTTGGACCTGGAGCGGAAGAACTGAGAAAAAAGGTTTGCAATTGCAAGGCTTGGCTTCTGGCTTAGAGTTTGATGCCAACAAAAAAGATTTGAGCATGCAGTTCTTTGTCTTGAGTTCAGATGCAATTTCCTCTCGCTGAGCCTCTTATAGGTTTGCAAGTGAGGAAACCTTTTGGCTCACCTAATGTGCCATCGTTCAACAAAGGGGATAACGGCAGGGAGTGCCATTAGCTGGATCCCATCACTGATAGTCACGGATAGAAGACTTGCTCAGAGTCGTTCCTGGTGGTCATGAAGCATATGCAAGCCTCTTGAAGCCCCTGTTTTGTTGTGGGGCCCGCCTCAAGCATGGGAATCATGGCTAGCGCTCCTCATCAGCACTCATGAGCGCACAGTTATCAACTTTGTTGCAGTGACAGACAAGAGATGCAGAAGTGGTGAAGCACTGTGTATACAGTATGTACAGTATACAGATATATATACAGTATATATAAGTCCACTACACATGTTTGCATTACCTAGTCGAGGCTCTTCAGATGGTGGAAGATGTCATGGGCAAGATTGTGCCACTTGAAATGCATTTCGGTAGGACCTACTGTAGAACTGATGGAGAGCTGGTCGTTCATCTACTGTACTCGTCCGTTTTGATTTGCGTCAGCCACCAGGCAGGGCCTGCTAATGCCAAAAGTGGCACCTGCATGGTATGCTGGTGCGCTGGACACACCTTAGCGGTGATTTGCATTTATCATTTATCTTTATCAATTTGCCAATGCACATACACACACACTTCGATAGGTTTTATCCAGTGAGATAATCCACAAGGAAAGAATTGCTGAAACAGTAAGGCGGCTGTTCAACAAATTGTTGCAAGAACGTGCAGAGTCTGCGGCGGCGCGGCTGCAAGTCAGCTGGACAGGTTTGCGGGGAGTAATATGAAAACCACCATGAAAACAAAAAACAGCGGGGCGGACCAGTGGTGTCAGTGTGCTGGTCACCAGGTACGTTCAGAGAGCGTCCTCTCCGAGCATCACATCCGATCAGCAGCGTCTTTGTTAGGCAGTGACTGCTGAAGGGATCACTGCCCCCTGCCATATACAAGCATTGTTAGTGGAACATTCCCTTGGGGACAGGGTTTGACACACTTATTGATGTGCGTACGGATGTGAATGCGGTGCCACACGCCAGCCTGAGTTTAAAAAAACCTGAGATGCCAGGAGGATAGGTAGGAAGTGAAAGGCCTTTGCTTTTAGGTTGGAGGTCACCGCAAGGCCGTTGGAGGTCAATGCCTAAGGTTGGAGGCCGTCGCTAGTAGGTGGCAGGTAGTATGCACAAGCAAGCAAAAGTGACAAGTAGTAGGTTAAAGGCCACCGCTTTTAGGTTGGAGGTCCTTGCAAGGCCGTTGGAGGTCAACGCCTAAGGTTGGAGGCCGTCGCTAGTAGGTGGAAGGTAGTAGGTGGTCGCCAGTGAGTTGGAGGCCAAAGTACCAGGTTGGAGGCCAGCGCAACGAGTTTACCGCAAGTACCTGTGCCCACCCCAACTCTGCAGACTGAATAGGAAAGCATCCAGTCTGACAGAGTGGACGCGCCGGCCCTAAGGGCAACCGGCGTAGAAACTACTAGAAGGACACCAAAAATAGGAAGAGGCCATAGCAACGAGGTGACGGGTTAGGAGGCCCACAAGACACAAAGCAGCAAAAACAATTAAAGGACCGGATAACCCCACTTATGAATCTTTACGAATCTCAAGTTTCTAAAGCACAAAGCAGTCAGAGTCTCAATAGCTTCTACAACATGGCCTTGTCAGGAATGATATCAGAATTACACAACAGAGGGGTGGGAGAGAGGTGTGGGAGAGTAATGTGCACGACGGATGTACGAGGTATTGTGCAGACATGTGTGTACAGCCACAACTAGCCTAGCGCTGACATGGAGGTTCACAAAGTGCTGTGCTTGCCACGAAATCTGCGCATGGAGGTTCACAAAGTGCTGTGCCTGCCACGAAATCTGCACATGGAGGTTCACAAACTGCTGCGCCTGCCACGAAATCTGCCCCTCGAGCTTCACAAAGCGCTGCACCTGCCACGAAATCTGCACATGGAGGTTCACAAAGTGCTGCGCCTGCCACGAAATCTGCACATGGAGGTTCACAAAGCGCTGTGCCTGCCACGACATCTGCGCGTCAAGAAACAAGTGAAAACTCTAATCGCAATGGAGGGACGGACCGGCGACCACCGGCGACAACCGGCGACAACCGCCGACAACGCAACAGCCAGAGCCTCTAACCGAGCATGGAGGTTCACAAAGTGCTGCGCCTGCCAGAATTCTGCGCATGGAGGTTCACAAAGTGCTGTGCCTGCCACGAAATCTGCGCATGGAGGTTCACAAACTGCTGCGCCTAGCTTCACAAAGCGCTGCGCCTGCCACGAAATCTGCGCATGGAGGTTCACAAAGTGCTGCGCCTGCCACGAAATCTGCACATGGAGGTTCACAAAATGCTGTGCCTGCCATGACATCTGCGCGTCAAGAAAGGACGGACCGGCGACCACCGGCGACAACCGACAACCGCCGACAACGCAACAGCCAGAGCCCGTAACGGAGCATGGAGGTTCACAAAAGTGCTGCGCCTGCCACGAATTCTGCACATGGAGGTTCACAAAGGTTCACAAACTGCTGCGCCTGCCACGAAATCTGCACCTCGAGCTTCACAAAGCGCTGCACCTGCCACGAAATCTGCGCATGGAGGTTCACAAAGTGCTGCGCCTGCCACGAAATCTGCACATGGAGGTTCACAAAGTGCTGTGCCTGCCACGACATCTGCACGTCAAGAAACAAGTGAAAACTCTAATCACAATGGAGGGACGGACCGGCGACAACCGGCGACAACCGCCGACAACACAACCGCCAGAGCCTCTAACGGAGCATGGAGGGACACAAAGTGCTGCGCCTGCCACGAATTCTGCACATGGAGGTTCACAAAGTGCTGTGCCTGCCACGTAAGATGTGTGTGTGTGTTCTGTGTGTGTGTGTGTCCACCCCTGGACAAAGGGTTCTCCACCGCCACCTCCTTCACCGATTTTTCCACGATTTTCCACACGCAGGGGGCAGGAGTGCCATTGCAAGTCTCCTGCCAACGAAGACGCTTGCAATTGGCAGTGAAACCAGACTTGATCAGTCTGGCGTACCGATCCCCACAACCACCACAGCCGCTCCAGTGCCAGACCAAAACACGACCCCTCCGGCCACCCTATCTCAACATTCTGCATCACCATCACTGGCACCAGCCACACCAGCACCAGCATCTTCACTACCGGCACCAGACAAGCCAAACACCACTGTCTCACCAGCACCACAACCACCTTCCCCGCAGCCACTACACAGCAGTCGCCGCCACCACCACAAGAGCCGACGCAAGTCCGACCATCACCATAGAGGACGCCACCGCCACCGCCGCCGACATCGACATCACCACCACTCCAAACACCACAGCTCAACCCGGCGACGGCGCTCACCCTCGACATCCACTTACACATCCAGCCTTACACCATCCCGCAGTCGCTCACCACCACAACCCATCGATTTACGCCCTAACACTGAACACACCAACCCAGACCCCTCTCAGTTTCCCACCACAGCCGTCCTTCGTCGCCCAGTCAACCGTTGGCGACCTCCACCCAATTTCCACGCATTTACACCAGCAGACCAAATTCTAGACTGGCTAGAGTTCCACGCCACCCAACTCGACAACCCCAACAGACCACAACACCAGTACATTGCCAATTTACTCACAGACTGCAACATCACCTACAAGGAGATCACCGATTTCCGTCAATATACACACGCCAAGTGGAACGACACAACCCACCAATACGACCAATTCCAATACTACGCCATTTCACTCCCTTTCCTCAACACCAAAGCTACCACACCCGAACCGCCTGCGGTTTCCCGAGCCACAGCAACCCACAGGGAAGTCGCCCACATCAACGCAGGCCACACAGGCCCTGTCGGCAACATTTCCAACATTCTACGCCAAGGCCGATTTTTACCCAGCACACTCCACTTTGCCAACTACCCTGGATTCTTCGCCCAGGGTGTTCGCATCACCCACAACCAACCCCATGACCACAACGAATTTGCCCGCATCATCCACAACACCTGGCAACTCCACAAGAACTCCCATTCCCTTATCATCACACTCCTTGCATGGGGTGCCGCCACAAAGTATACCTCCGGAGGTGAGGAGCACGCCATGAACCTCCTTAACGACCACCATGGTGCGGTTTTCCATCACAAGGGCCGCTGCTGGGTGATCCACCCGGACCACGCCATTGTCAAAGGACTGGCCTGGTCCACAAATTCCACTCCACCTGACATATAACATCACCATCCCACACCTCCACACCACCATCACCACCACATCCACCTTAGGTTTCACACCACCACCTACCCTTTGCTCGCAGCAGCCAAAAGAGTTCCCTGCAGCGGCCACGCGACTTTTGAACCTTTCAAACTTTTAAGCTCTGTTTTTTGCTGCAAACATCTTTCTTAGAATCGTAACGGCAGTGTTGATGGAGTATCTCACATGTCGGCTTTTCATGCATTCACCTGTCCAACCGGCTTGGAGATTTTTGCACCTGGCCTGTGGGAATTTGATGCTCGTTTAATTCATATGCACGGCCCCGTGATGACGCGCTCCCGCAGACTTGCCGCTGTCCGGCTGCCTTGGCGCGCTGCTGCAGCCACCTGTGAAGAGTCTCTGCTACTGTACATCTCTACATCTCCGAATTATGAGCAGCACACCGACAGCACTACACAACGACACCTCCACCCTCATCCACAGAACCACAGTGGTACTTTCGCAGCTGCAGAACCTGCTCAGACAAGCAACAGATATCCTGGCACACCTTCACACTCATTTCCTCCACCACATCCACCAAGCGGATCCCACTTTCCGCCAACACTTTCAGCCACTTCCAACTCCGCCTGCCCACCCCATACGTTTGCCATCCACCACCTCCTCCTGTGACTCAGCACCATCCAGACCACCTATCCGTGTACCAGCACCACCTTCAAAAGACTCAGACGACACACCAACACCACCCCCCACTCCACAACCAACCACAACACGCAAGCGGAAGCAACCACCACCCCTACCACCGAACCAACATGCAGACTGGGATGCTTGGGACGGCGACGCCGACTGTCGCCTGGTCGAACTCAAAGAAAACCCTAGACTTCGTCCCAGCTGGACCACTGTGGCTCGCCGAGTGGGTTTCTCAGTCGACCAATGCCAAGCCCGATGGCAAGAACTCAAAGACATGCAGCGTCAGCAAGACCAGCAACTGTCCACCACCCCACTACCAACAGAACCATCAAGACCAGCATCCTCTCCTTCACCAACACCCACCTCACCAGCAGTCTCCCCAGCACCATATTCGCAACCGGATTTTTCCCCTTCCCCCCATACAACACCACCGCCTTCACCACATCGAACACCTGCCGCTGCTGAGCCGCCGCCGCCGGCCGCTGAACTTAGTGAGAACAGCCATCTGGAGAAATCTCCACTTACGCCCGTTGGCAGTTATTTCATTTGACCCGTTTCACCCAGCTTTCAGTACGGCGTGCCGCAGGACAAATTCACTGACATGCACTGACACTTAGTTTTTCACATCCAGTCTACCTTCACCAATTTTGCCCACCTTAGGCTCCT